TTTTTTTGTGGTTCACTTTGCTTCCTTTGTAATGGATATATTGATAAGTAGTGGATATTTACAATTACTTTTGCTGCTTTTTATTTGGTGTGCCTTATACGAATAATTTATATTTTTACTTGAAGGCCTTTTTTGATGCTGAAATCAAGAAAATGAAAATTAAGAACTGTTACTTCCCCTTATTTGTATCCTCCGGTGTTCTACAAAAGGAGAAGGACCATATAGAAGGTTTTGCTCCAGAGGTGAGATTACATACTCTTGGCTCTCGAGCACACATGCACTTTATCCTTCAATCATGTATGGTTCAATTATGTTGGCTGTTTGGTCTTCATAAATATGGTTCAATATATGTTGGCTGTTTTGATCTTCATAAATTAGCTATTAGAAATCCTGATGAGGTAAGATGAAATTTTTGCAATGTGTAAGAGGAAGATATTTTGGTGATTGATTAATGTTGCTTGGTAGTTCAGCGTTTTCTGGCACTGTTGCCATTTTAGACTTCAGCAAATCCAATTAATGTTGCTATCCAACCTGAGTGTAGAAGCTTCAGGGGCGTTGTGATCTTGAATGTATTGTATTTGATATTTTTGCTCTTAGATGTTTGGTATATGGTTTGGGGCTTGATAGATTTGCCTATAGTTTCTAACTATTGCATTGAACTTCTTTCAGGTTGCTTGGGTTACAAAGTCGGGGGAATCGGAATTGGAAATGCCCATTGCAATTCGTCCAACTAGCGAAACTGTCATGTATCCATATTTTTCCAAGTGGATTCGGGGACATCGTGATTTGCCTCTAAGACTTAATCAATGGTGTAATGTTGTTAGATGGGAATTCAGCAACCCTACTCCATTCATCAGGTGTTTAAAGTGCGATTGTATATTTATTTATTTTTATTGTTTAACAAATTATCTGAAGAGGAAATGTAGTAGAGGTTATTGTAATCTGTGGATGTTGGTACAATTTTATGAGCAGGCTGTCGTTTCTGAATAATTAGTTCGTCACTTTATATTTCTGGATTTTTTATACCCCTTATACACTATGGAAATCATCATACTGAAATATTGACATTTATTGCATTTTCATTAAGTGCTTATATATTGTGATGGGGAAAAAGATCATTGAACTCATTGGTTTCTGTTTTTCTACTATTGGTTCTTGATATTGCAGGAGTAGAGAATTTCTTTGGCAGGAAGGACATACTGCTTTTGCAACTAAGGAGGAGGCAGATACTGAGGTACTTCCTCCTGGCCATGAAAGAGCAATGATATTCCATAATCATAGTGAATTTCGGAAATGATTTCATTCGAGTTGTATGTGGATAGGAGTTATATCAATTGATACTGCATTATTTTACCTTTTTATCAGATATGAAAAGCAGAAGTGAATCATCGTTCTTCTTATTTTATGACTCCCCTTCCGTGTTTCACTTGTTTGTGTTCCAGTAGTTATTTGCATTTTACTGTCACAGAAGAGAATTTGTGAGGTTCTTTTGTTTCTACCTTAAGTTCTTCTGTACTGGGATAAACATTAAACGATAAGGAGAATCCATGTGTTTAAATATGAATACTGACCTACAGATCAGGGTTAATAGGGGAAAGTTGTGACTACCCATGTGTTTAAATATGAATCCATGTGTTTAATTATTGCCCCCTCATTTATTGTGTTCGCTTTCGAGCTCTCATTTTTTAGTTAATTGTTGGCCACATATAACTTCAGATTAGATGTTGTTATCGTAACTGTTTGAGATTGATTCAATATTTTACTTATCTACTATCATTTCCCTCTCCAGTCTGTGGTTTGCAAATTGAAGTTTCATGAGTATTTTAATGATTTTGTTACGAACTGATTGGATAGGGAACTACATTTAACCGGCCAGGAGGTATTTATTTAGCATCTACATTTAGCAAAATTGATTTGATTGATCTGAGATGTTTAGAATTTATCTTTTTTGTATTTTACTGCTAATACATGATGTGAATCTTACTGCCAAAATATAAATGATTTCATGTTATAATATTTAGTATGTTTGCTGATTACTTGTTGGGAAGGAAGATGGCTTTGTTCCCTGTTAGCATAGTGCTGGTTCTTGATAGCCTATTTTTGTCCTATGCAGGTGCTTGAAATCTTAGAGCTTTATAGACGTATATATGAAGAATTCTTGGCTGTTCCTGTAATTAAGGGTAAAAAGAGCGAGCATGAAAAGTTTGCTGGTGGACTTTACACTACTACTGTGGAGGTTGCAATTCTCAATCATATTAAGTTACTTTGTTATTGAGTAGCAACTGGTAGTTTATGCAGAAACTTCTCTAGATTATCTTCACAAGTTTCTATATTCTGCATTACAGGCTTTTGTCCCAAACACCGGCCGTGGTGTGCAAGGTGCCACTTCACATTGTCTGGGTCAAAATTTTGCTAAAATGTTTGAGATTAATTTTGAGAATGAGAAAGGAGAAAAGGCTATGGTTTGGCAGAACTCCTGGGCTTATACTACAAGAACGGTAAATGAAGTATTTAGTCTTCTCATTGCACTGTGTAGCTCTTTTTACTTGTTCTTCTTATCCATTTAATTCCTCTAGATCTATGTTTATTTGTGACCAGCAAACTTTAATGTAATGTTATACAAGAATTTCCTGGTTGTTTTACATGATCTTCTGAAAGAGCCGATTCAAAAGTTTAATAAAATGTGAACCTATAGAATTTTCCCAGGAATGCTAGTATCCGATGTAGCATACAAGGCCCTTTAACAGTTAAGGCAACAAAAGCATCAACATAGGAAGGAGAATGTGACATTTTTAGAATACTTTTGCTTAAGTAGACTTTTGGTTCTATGGTATCGCTCGCCCATATACATATTTTGTAATGCACATTTTTTCCCTCGACTGTTGTAAATTGTTACAAACATTTTTTTTTATTTTTTATTTTTATTTCACATGAACACTTTTTTCAGCTTAATTAACTTCGAGTAATATGCCCGTTGAATTGTGCTTTCATCCCACTGACCCCTTTCCTGCCAACTGGCAGATAGGAGTGATGATAATGGTTCACGGAGATGACAAAGGCTTGGTGTTACCTCCAAAAGTGGCATCTGTACAAGTAATTGTTATCCCTGTCCCGTACAAAGATGCAGACACTAAGGGTATCTTTGATGCATGTGAGACAACCGTGAAAAACTTGAACGAATCTGGTATACGTGCTGAGGCTGATTTTAGAGATAATTACTCACCAGGCTGGAAATATTCTCATTGGGAATTAAAAGGCGTTCCTCTCAGGATTGAGATAGGCCCTAAAGACTATGCAAATAATCAGGTAAACAAAAGAGAGTCATCCCATTATCTTTTGCAAGTGTTGTTAGCTGAGAAATAAAATATTTTCTTATTCTTTTTTGTTATCATTTGATTTGACAAAAAGATTGGTATGTTATCAGGTCCGTGCAGTCCGGCGTGACAACTCTACGAAGCATGATATTCCCATGGCCGATTTAGTCGAACGAGTGAGAGATACGCTTGGTCGCATCCAAGAAAGTCTTTTTGAGGCTGCCAAGCAAAAACGGGATTTGTGTATTGAGGTCATTCATACTTGGGAAGAATTTGTGGAGGCACTTGGCCAAAAGAAAATGATTCTGGCGCCATGGTGTGATGAAGAGGTATTGATGTGCTTTTTCTTTTTNTTACTTCCTCCTAGCATTCTTGTCACAATTGTATGTAGTCTTATTGTTTCTATTTGAACATTGTTTGGTGAGACTCATGTAGTATATATGGAGAAAAATTGAGTAACCTCGACTGAGTAGTATTATGATGTTTCAACTGAATACTGGTCTCAAATTTTAAGAATTTTCCTCAGTACAGTTTTGTTTTACAGAATTTTCAACTATTTCTTGGATAATTGTGGAAGGTTACACGAGATGTTTGGCCTAGTAATGTCCAATATAATATGCTATAACTATACTCCCTTAATATGAAAAAAAATCCAATATAATATGCTAAAATTATGCTCACTCTACAACTGCCATTGAGATATAATATGCTGTGCATAAGTTCACTATCCAAAGGGTGCAATTTGTGAAATGGCAACATGTGTGTCGAGGATAGTATATGTAATTTATAAAACTGATTTTCTTATGAATTTTCTTTTAATTTTCATTTCTACTGCTCTGAAGTTCAGTTATGGAAAAATCGCGTGCAATTTTATATTTCCATCGAGGTGTAAGTTCAGTTATAGAAGACCTTTACGTAGTTCAAATAAATAGTTTTATTTTATCCTTTTGGATCCAGAATTATCTTTGCCTAACTCTTTTCTTATGCTAAAGGAAGTGGAGAAGGATGTGAAGGCCCGAACAAAGGGGGACATGGGTGCCGCCAAATCACTTTGTTCACCATTTGAGCAGCCTGAATTACCTGAAGGTACAACACAATGNAAAAAAAATAATAAATAAATTATACTAGTACAACACCCGTGTATTACACGGGTGCTTGTTAAAAATTATTTCTTAAATTATAAAATTAGTGAGAAAAATAATTTTAAATTTTATTTACTTTTTTACAAAAAACATATATTATTATATATTTTAGAATAACTCTTGTTACTTGTGCGACATACATGTGTTATATTATAGCAATTTTTATAACTTATATCATATAATTACTTTAAATATAAATATAGTAATTGATAAATAATTTTATTTTTCTAATTAATATTAAAAAATATTATTGTTATAAAAAACATAATTTTTTTTTCATATATACAATATGGATGTTGAATCGAAGCTCATCAAGAGAAGATTAATTTGATATATAATATATTTATAACTGATAAAAAATACAAAAGTTATTAACTTTTAAAATACATTTACAATTCAATATTTATAATAAGAAATGATATTAAAATGCAATTAATATATGTAACATGACCATAAATAATAAACATATTTATGGATAATCCAAACCTAATTATTTTTAGATTCGAAGTAAATTAAAATCTACTCAAGCCTAATAACAAGGCATGTACTTTTGCCACATAGGATCCTGAAACATGCGAGTCTGCCACTTAGGCTCGACACGTTCTGAATTAACATATAAGGGGATATATCATGTGAAGGAATCCAAACATGAGCTTTTCCTAAGTATCCCATTTCTCAGGATGGGATGTTTAGACTTAATTGAATATAAAATTGTATAACGGAATACGAAATCCTGTTATCTTACAACTGTCCCATTTTAGAAGTTCCTTGAGCATTTGTACAGGGACACATATGTTTGGGGTTGCATAACTGTAGTAAACCTCATGAATGGAATCTGTGAATAATTTTAGGAATTTGTTTGTTGGATTAAAAGATGAATGAAATCTGATGCTAGTTATGAGTCAATTGGTGAGTAGTGTAGAGCTAATTTTGGTTCTTATATGCAGGCACGATTTGCTTCGCCTCAGGAAAGCCTGCCAAGAAGTGGACTTACTGGGGAAGGAGTTATTGATCACTTCTAATTTCCTTGTGAGCACCACCCATTATTAAGCTAGCAGGGCTTATTGATATTTAAAAATTGATTGGTCTATCCAGAAAGTTACATGTGGAAGGGTATATTTAAAAGTCGTTCCTTAAGATTAAGTGTTTCAATTTATAATAATATTAAATTAGGATTAATACGCAGTGGAACATGTTATCATTTTTATTTTACCAGTATTTGATAACGTTAAAATAGTTTTAAGTCGGTCAAGTATGTTGGACATAGAATAATTACGCGGTGGAACATAATAATATTAAATTAGGATAAGTACGCAGTGGAACATGTTATCATTTTTATTTTACCAGTATTTGATAACGTTAAAATATTTTTAAGTCGGTTTAAGTATATTGGACATGGAATAATTACGCGGTGTAACATATTTTCCTTTTCTTTACCGGTATATGATACGGTTTATTTTAAATCAAGAGAAACCAGTTTCATTCCACCACATCAACAATATATATATAATTTAACAACTTAATTTGAAAATTACGCCAAACGAAACCTTTTGATTTACTTTTGAGTCAAATACGGGGACTTCCGAGTCAAATTAAGCCTGGTGTGTTATTGCGTATCAGTTATAATTAAGTATAATGGTAGAAAAAATGAAAATAAAAGTCTGAAAAGAGATAACAGATGGTGTGCCTAATTTGTTGTTAGTTGACATTCTTAGTGTCGAAAAATTAAATAAGGAAACTGCAACTGCGCAACAGATTAAAATTTCGTAAGAAATGAAGCAAGGATTAGAAAAAGAAGAAAGACCCTTTATTTTCTATTTTGACCGAAGAATATCTATATCTATTCAACTAAAATGGCTAATCTAAATCTCCACGTGTGAAAAAAATAAAAAAAAATCTGCTATTCACTGTTTCAAAGTAGTTTGATGAAAAAAAAATAATATTCTCTTCCACATCGGATTGGTAGCTTCATTCATCTGCAAAACAAGTGAAGGTTTATGACGAAAATTTTCACGTACGAAATTCTGTAAGAAAAAAAACACTGGTGAGGTTCAATAATATATAAATAAATATATGAAAACACAACTCGTCACCTGCCGAGGATACAATCTNTCATTCAGTTTGAATTTTAATCTACTTTTATGAGATGGGACAAAGTAATTTTGGATGCTTTAAATCCAGTTTCAAAAGTTGAAGCAAACATCCAACCAAACAAGACAAAAAAAAGGCTTCAAAAACAAGTATGATGTCTTTTGTTGAATTCAACTAATTTGGTCATGGTTTTCATTGAACTCAACAAGTTCGGTGGTGGTTTTTGTTGAATTCACCTAATTTTGGTGGTGGGCTACAAGTAAAATAATGTACAACTGAACACAAATTAAAATGCAATTCTGACGTGTGATAACCATATTGGTTAAAAATGAAAAAAAAAAGAATTCTTTTATCTATCCCATCCTATCTATTACCTAAGCCCTGATGTAAGATTGACGAAAAGGATTACAAATTTGGTCCCATAATGTCCAAAGCCATCAAGAAGGAAAAAGAAAGGGTTAGACATCAAACTGACCCCAACACAGCTCCACAATAGGAAAAAAACAGGAAACCTTTTCCTAAAAAAGTGTCACCAGGCTAAAAATATCAAGAATCCTAGTTAAATTTTTGAAAAAGTAGAATAGATGCTTGTCTGAAATATTCCAACTCAGGAAATTGTAATGCACACACAAGAATATGGTAATCCTAGATGCTTGTCTTCACTTTATATCATGATTCTTTATGCTAAAAAAATCAGATGTGCTGAGCAGATAGAAGTACTGAAGAATGTAGGTATAGGTGTTCTGAAAAAATGCTACACGCTAAGAAAGGTTTACATAAATGAGATAAATTACATTGTTAACTTAGCCTAGCAACAAAGGACTTGCATCACTTTTGAGACTTAAACACTCAAATACTCCCCTCAAGGTTCATATTGATCCTTCATCACTCTCCCTAGATTCTAATTCACCTAAAAGGCTAAAACATTACTGAAGTCACCTCAAACTGATCTTGCAAAAGAGCTAATAAATAACTTCAAAGAAACTAAATGAGGAACAAACTCTTACCTTCAAAATATGGCCCCACAAAGAACTGATTTGAACTTCTAAGAACCTTCAGTGGACTCTGTTATCTTCATACACTCCCTCAATAATCTTTGCTACCATGGATATAAAATCCAGCTACAAATTACACATCAACAATACCACCAATGGGATGACTAAATTCAAGAAAAACACCACCTGCAAAATCAAGGCCAAAAGATGGGGAAAAAAANGAAAAAAAAAAAAAAAAATATTAAGAACAAACCAAGTTTGACATATATAAAATCTTACATTTCCCCAAGAACCCGAATAATCCATCCTCGGGAGATAACCCTGCAGCCCAATATTATAAACCGGGCTACCATCTGGATAAAACAGCCCATAATTCCTCTCGGACAATGGCCCAGGCTTCATATTCTCATTAAACAGCGCAAACACAAAGACATCAATCGGAATTGACGGATTTGCTGGGGTCCCTTCATTCCTCTCCATCCTACTCACTAAATTCCCATTATACAACCTCGCATTCTCCACAGAGGCCCCCACCTCATTCGGGTCGCCCCTCGAAGGCCATCCCGTCTCGGACACTTTTACCCTCACATCCGTGTGGCCCATCACCCGAATCGCATTGTAAACCGCATCAATCTGCGCATACAACATGTTATCATACCGCAAATTCGTACCAGAGTCAATCATTCCGTCATTGGGCCCAAACAACACGTAGTTCAGCGAAATCTGGCCCACATTGTCCTTGTACGCGAAAAACGGGTACGCGTTTATCAAGAAAGGGGAATTTGTCTGCGAGTGGAAATCAAGTATTGCATGAAGATACTCGGCTATGTCTTCGCGAAATGCGCCGGACGAAGGGGGAAATGAACTGCCTAGCACGTCGAACGCGTGGGCCGTGGTCACTTTTATGTAGTTGCTTAGGCCTGAAATTTGGAGGGCGTTGTTGACGTTTTGCATGGCGGGAAGGAGGAAGGATTTTAACTGGGTGTTGTTGCCGGTGAGGACTTCGTTGCCAACTGTGATGCAGGAGATTTTGGTGGAGGGGAAGTGAGGGGTTATGTATTGCTGGACCCATAATTGGGCCTGGGCTGGGTCGGACATGCGTTGGAGGTGCTCGTTGCCGAGCCCGATTATGAACTCGACGTTTGAGCCCGCAAAGGCGGAGAGGACTGTGGGGTCTGCGTCGTAGAGTTTGACTCGGGTGACGTTGACGGAGGAGAGGAGGTGTGCCACGCGGGATGGGGATGGGAGGTTGCTGGCGATTTGGCCGTAGTTGATGCCGATTTTGAGGGCGTGGATCGAGGATGATGAATCTGATGGGGAAAAAAAATTAATGAGGAAACATAGGAAACTATAGGAAACAAATTATTGAAAAACAAAAGTGACATTATATAGTGATCTGAATGAATAACTTGCTTCAAAGATGATGAATCTGATGGAATGAATTGAACAGAATAATGAGGAAGCATTCAAGAATTTAGTAGTTGTTGGTTTGGTTTGGGATCATAGTGAATTTGGGAAGGATTGTTTTTTGGTAATGAGATTGAGAAGTAATTAGAGGAAACAATTTATTGAAAAAAAGTAAATTAAATTGTGAGATATTAGAGTGATTTGTTGAATGACTTGTTTCATTGCTATATATTCTAAATAAGTAAGATAATTTGGGGGTGTGGAGATTTATTGTTATATACATGTATAAAATCAGAGAATTTTGGATGAATCTAATAAATCTGAACTACTGAGTTGTAACAGAATCGCTTTCTTTAGATTCATATATAAAAGAATAGCATAAATACAGCAGATTATAACATCGACAGGGAGCATAAAGTTTGAATCTTGAGACAATACGCTACAAATAACGGGTCATTAACAGAGGAAGAAAACAAACAGATAAACCCATTAAAGGCCATTAAAGGTACAGCAGGGTAGCTTGGGGAAAACAAATCTAGTAATTCCTAAAATCAAAACAAGAAACTACAGAAATCAAGAAGATGGATCTTTGCTACGGTACCACACAATAACACCAATCCAAAACTTTGAAATAAAAAAGAAAAAAATAAAAACGAAATTTTACTTCACAAACCGGAAAAAGATGCAATTCTTGAACATCCGAGATAAAAAAAAAAGAACAAATATAAATAACTTATGAGAAGCAAGCGAAACCTGAAAAAATGAAGAATGATAGGAGGAGAAAGAGAAGTTGAAGAGGGCCAGCCATTACACACCCAACTTGCCCAAAACTGCTAAATCTCAGCTGTGGCGGTGGCTTTAATGCTTCAAGTCCGTGAATTTATATATGTTTGTGTTTGTGTGTGTACGCGTACGCTTTATTTTTTCTAGCAATAAATAAATATTATATTATATTTCCTTCTTATCTTTATTTATTTCCTTTATTTTTCACACGGTAGATTAATGCATTGAGAAGCTGAGCTGGCGTCAAACTTTTTGTTTAATAAGCCGTCATTATTACATTTTCATCTTTTTCTTGCAAATTTAGATACGTGTTTAAGAAAAAGCCGCCCTTTCTGGAAATTGTGACCAGATTTTTATGTAGAGACAACGTATTATTATGTGAGAAATCATTTTCAACTCGTGTTCTAACCAATCACTATTTTTAATTTAATAAAATGATGTTTTCCACTTAATCTTGGTATTGTGATATTGATCAAAATTGGTGAACTGAGAAAATGAGACTTCACCGGTTTGGGAACTTCATAGCTGGGAAAGAATAAATTGCCGACATACGCTGCGAAATATCGGAAATGCCCCAGTTCATTTTTGCAATGCCCCAACTCTTGAACAATTGCACAGCGCAGTTGATTGAATATTTTTTTTTTCTTTTTTTTTTTTATTTAGGCTAAAGGATGAAGATTTGACCTTCTACGACTAGCCACCACCCACAAGAGACATCTGAGTGGTGGATTTTTTATTTTTTTAATATATATTAATAATTTGATGGAAACAGATTGTAATGTTTAAACGTGTTATCGGAAGAGTTCGGATCTCCATCTCCTACATGATATATATACAAAAAACTCGTCCCCACATGATGTATATAATCTTAATAAGAATAAGTGTTCTCCAAAATTTTCTAACTCTTATCATGTTCCATTATTAAATGATGTTTCTTATATATATTTACTCACCTCCCACCTCTTAACCACGTCTACATAAGCTAAGTACCAGATGAAATAAAGTCTTTTACTTCAAAGACGCAGCAAACACATAGAAATTTGGAGAAAAAATCAAAAAATAGCAACCAAGTACTTGTACGTGCGTGATTGTCACGAGAAGAAGTCATAGCACCATCTTCTTCGATATTTTGCTTAGTGATTGAAGAGGTAAGAACCCAAATATTAGAATGTTATATAGCTGAGTTACAGAATTTTAATATGTGCTAGGATAAGCTTAAAGTTCAAGTTTTGAAGTGAGCATAAATTTATAATAAGTATAAGGGTTCTTCATTTATGAACATGAAGCATAAGTCCTGTTTGAGTTCGATTCTGTGCATGCTATGATACACCTAGTGAAGTAAGCTGACATATGAAATTCTTGTACCTGTGATGAGTATTTGCATGAAAGAATCATGTCATTTGGAGCAGTATAGCTCAAGTTGTAAGTATTTGAAGTTTAATGTGCAAAGTGATTTTCTAGTGCTTTGTTTCAGCTGCCACTTAAAATGCGAATATCTAAGTCCATAGACATGCTATTAACATGAAATTATTATGACATGTTAATATATGAGTTAAGAGTATGACTGTTCAATATCAGCTCAAAATGATGAGAAATGAGCAAGATAAAAAAGTTAGACTACCAGAATATCAAGTTGATATTTGTTGCAATAGAACTCAGCCTACACTCATGATTTTGATGTGAAATTGTTATGAGTATGTCTTGTATGAGTTGTGATCATTGTGACCAAGTTTCAGCTTCATAAATTAAGTATGGTATTTTATAAAATTCTTAGAAGAAAGAAGGGTTAAATGCATGTTTATATGCAAAAATTAATGTAATTGTTTGACCTAACAAATGAGCCTAGAATTAGCTGAAATTGTAATTGGAAATACATGTCTAAATGAAGTATTTGAATGCTAATTTTTAGTAATTTTGAAGGTATGTATGACTTTATAAAATCATGAGGTTTTAAGGGGTCTAATAAGCATATCTAGTTGTTTAAGTGTATTTGCTTGAACATAAGTATTTACCCTTTCATGAGCATGCATTGAGTATAGTAGTTGGCCGGAAAGTGTTGCCAGTCCAGTCCAGTTAATAAGCGAACCGGCCGGTTCGGCCGACAATTCGAGTTATTTTTGGCTCATGTGAATAGTCCGAGATATTTTCGGGATTTTTAATATTTTTCCAAGGCAAAATCTACTTAGATTAAGTTATAGCAGTAAGTTCAGGACTTAGTATAATATTATATCGAACCCTTGGAGTGTTCTAATTAGTTCGGATGAGTTAGAAGTTAAAAACAGAGCATCTTAGCATTTTATTGAGTATTCTGAGCATAGTACTTAGTATATTAATTGCTTATATCGTTATACAGTTTGACGAGACAGTTTTCAAGTTTAGCACTGCCATTTTCATTTTCGAAAGTACAGGTGGGAGCCCAGACTGGGTATTACATTGACTATAATATATGATATCATGTCCGAGGTATGTATATATATTGAGTTTATCCGCTTAGGGTGGTGGCCCCGAGTTGCCATAAGTTTTTCCCCTAAGTTCTGGTGGTGGCCGCTAGTTGCCTTAATATTTTACTAGAGTGTGCACATGGTTATCGGCCGAGTTTTTTAGATTACCGGGAGATTGAGTTACAGTGCAATTTCAGTTTCAGTTTATATATATTGATGATCATGATATTGTTATTATTATTGCTGCTTACTTTAGTATGAGTTTCTGCGGAGCATTTTGCACTTTCGTGCTCATGCCCCACTATTATGTTTTTCTTTTTCAGATGTTCGGGTCCGGCCGCAGGCGTGAGTTGAGTTGCCATGGTGGTGGTCGTGGAATTTTTCCACGCTTTACATTTCCGCTGACGTTATTTTCCGTATCAAACTTGAATGCTAGTTTACAGATTTTATCGGATCTCTAGACAGGTCTGGTCGAGTTACATGCTAGTTTGATTAGAATATATATAATCTGTTTTCTTTATGTCTAAACCAGTATTTAGACCAAGTTAAAGAAAAACAGATTTTCAGAATTGATAAGTTTAATAGCATCCCGAGTTAAGTTAAATGATTTCAAAAAATTTATATGTATTTTCGAAACAAAGTTGCAAAAATTTTACTCTGATACTAGTAAGTTAGCGGGGTGTTATAGTTGGTACCAGAGCACGATTTCGTGTGTCTGAATACTTCAGCGAGTCAGAAAGATTTCAGAAAACCCGACCATACCACGCTCACGCCTCCCCGACTATCAGGTAAGTGCTGAAATTTATTTATAAGAAAATTTTTACTATGTCTATGCTCAGTAGGATGTTAGATATCCATATTTCAGAATCAGTACAGATGCTCAAATCAGTAATAGAAATTCCTTTAGCAGTATTAGATTTGTCTTTAAATCAATAGCGAGAAGTCTAGTTTGAAATTAAGTTTATCTAGTTAATTTTAGCGGCTCGTCAGGAAATTGGACTTTATTATTAAATTAACACCTTTTTTAGTTATATTATATTTTTGTTTTGATCAAATTGTATGTGTGTCTGTTCAGATGGCACGTCGTAGAGACCAGGAACATCACGAAGTGCAACAGTCGACTGTAGTCTCCCAGTTTCGTGACTGCAATCCTGAGAAGTTTTCTGGTCAAGGAGATCCTAGACTTGTAGACGAATGGATCCAGGGCCTCGAGATGATTTGTTAGGTCATGGATTGTTCTGAACGACTTCATATACTCTGTGCCCAGCTCCATATGGTTGGTGATGCACGTATTTGGTGGAACTCTTACTGGGGCATGCGTCCTGGTGAGAAAGAAAACTGCACATTGGACTCAGTTCAAGGGGATGCTACGCGAGAAATACTATCCTAATCATTATGAAGCTGAGATGGAGCGTCAGTTTCTGGCGCTAAAACAGGGTGCTCGTTCAGTTGATGAGTTTGAATGTGAGTTTACTTGACTCGGATCCTTCGTTACCTCTCTAGTGGATACGGAGAAGAAGAGATCGAGGCGTTTTTGTGATGGACTTCGAACAGAGATTCGCCACCATGTAGTCGGGAATAGTCTCGAGTCTTATGCCGACACTGTTCCTTTTGCTCAGGAGGTTGATGCTAGTATCCGAATGGGTGCCGATCAGACCTAGATGCAGCCAGCTGCTGAGCCATGCTCATTGCCATCAGCATAGCCAATGCCTATCCAACAGGCGAGAAACAAGGGCAAGAGGAAGTGGAGAGGTCCCCAGTACGATCGAAGAGATAGGCAAAGGCGAACAGGTCCAGCCAACCGACAACAATTCTCACCATATCACACCTGTGGACGTATGCACCGTGGCGAGTGTCTTGTTGGACAGAACGTCTGCTATCATTGCCGGAGACCCGGTCATTCCATTCAATACTGCCCAGACTGATTACAACAGCAGCGGCCACAGCAGCAGCCACAACCTCAGCCCCGACAGCAGCCTCCGAGACAGCCCCAGCAGCCGAGGCGAGCGGGACAACATGCTCATGTTTATGCAGTGGAGCAGGCCGAAGCAGAACAAAATCCAGGTACTATGTCTGGGATGATTATTCTTAATGATGTACCTGTTTTCGCTTTATTCGACACTGGAGCGACCCATTCTTTCGTATCAGCTCGATGCTTAGATACCATAGGAGTTCGACCCACTAGCACTGTCGACTCTCTTGAGATGAGCTTAGCCTCAGGAAAGAAGATAGTGACGAGCTATAAGGCTGAAGATCTTATTCTTTCTGTCGGCGGTCAAATTCTGACGGCCGATGGTTATGTTATCGGGATGAGGGATTTTGACCTCATTCTCGGTATGGACTGGTTGACACGTTTCTGTGCGGATATTCGCTGTCACGACCGGGAGGTGATTCTTCATCTTTCGAAGAGCAGATCTATTATTTTCTATGGAACGAAGACCTGCACTTTACCTCTTATTATTTCCATGGCGAAAGCCAGAAAGATCCTACGACGAGGAGATTGCCAGGGCTACCTGGTGAGTCTTGTTGAAGAAGATTCGAGAGCACTGACACCTCACGATATTCCTGTTGTTCGTGAGTTTGTGGATGTGTTCCCGGACCAGTTACCAGGAGGACCCCCCAACCGACAGGTGTAGTTTTCTATTGATCTCATTCCAGGAGCTGGACCAGTATCCAAAGCACCTTACAGGATGGCCCCAAAGGAGTTGCAGGAGTTAAAGACCCAAATCCAGGAGTTGTTGAAACTCGGGTTCATTCGCCCGAGTGTATCTTCTTGGGAAGCGCACGTTCTTTTCGTCAAGAAGAAGGAGGGATCCATGCGAATGTGTATTGATTACCGGGATCTTAACCGGTTAACAGTGAAGAATAAATATCCAATCCCCAGAATAGATGACTTGTTCGACTAGCTGAGCGGTACCTGTGTATTTTCCAAGATTGATTTACGTTCGGGCTACCACCAGTTGAAGATAAAGTAGTCTGATATTGCCAAGACTGCATTCCGAATGAGATAAGGTCATTACGAGTTCGTGGTAATGCCGTTTGGACTCAGCAATGCGCGAGCGGTGTTCATGGACTTGATGAACCATGTATTCCATCCTTATTTAGACCAATTTGTTATCGTATTCATTGATGACATTTTGGT